GCACCCATTTGCCGTCCGCAGCCGTCCGTGCAGCCAAGGTCGCTCATCACCAGCGGCTTCTTCTCCCCACCCATTTCCAGCCACTCCCTTGCACCCACGCCGTCCGCAGCCGTCCGCGCAGTTCTCCGCACCCATTTGCCGTCCGCAGCCGTCCGCGCAGCCAAGGTCGCTCATCACCAGCGGCTTCTTCTCCCCACCCATTTCCAGCCACCCCCTTGCACCCACGCCGTCCGCGGTTGTCCGCGCAGTTCTCCGCACCCATTTGCCGCCCGCAGCCGTCCGCGCAGCCAAGGTCGCTCATCACCAGCGGCTTCTTCTCCCCACCCATTTCCAGCCACTCCGTTGCACCCACGCCGTCTGCAGCCGTCCACGCAGTTCTCCGCACCCATTTGCCGTCCGCAGCCGTCCGCGCAGCCAAGCTCGCTCATCACCAGCGGCTTCTTCTCCCCACCCATTTCCAGCCACTCCATTGCACCCACGCCGTCCGCAGCCGTCCGCGCAGTTCTCCGCACCCATTTCCCGTCCGCAGCCGTCCGCGCAGCCGAGCTCGCTCATCACCAGCGGCTTCTTCTCCCCACCCATTTCCAGCCACCCCCTTGCACCCACGCCGTCCGCAGCCGTCCGCGCAGTTCTCCGCACCCATTTGCCGTCCGCAGCCGTCCGCGCCGCTCATCACCAGCGGCTTCTTTTCCCCACCCATTTCCAGCCACTCCGTTGCACCCACGCCGTCCGCAGCCATCCGCGCAGTTCTCCGCACCCATTTGCCGTCCGCAGCCGTCCGCGCAGCCAAGGTCGCTCATCACCAGCGGCTTCTTCTCCCCACCCATTTCCAGCCACCCCCTTGCACCCACGCCGTCCGCAGCCGTCCGCGCAGTTCTCCGCACCCATTAATTTGCCGTCCGCAGCCGTCCGCGCAGCCAAGCTCGCTCATCACCAGCGGCTTCTTCTCCCCACCCATTTCCAGCCACTCCCTTGCACCCAGGCCGTCCGCAGCCGTCCGCTCCATTCCTTTCCCTTCCTTTCCCATCTTTTTCCGTTCCTTTCCCATCCTTTCCCTTCCTTTCCCTTCCTTTCCCATCCTTTCCCTTCCTTTCCCTTCCTTTCCCTTCCTTTCCCTTCCTCCTTCCTTTCCCATCCTTTCCCTTCCTTTCCCTTCCTGTCCCTTCCTTTCCCTTCCTGTCCCTTCCTTTCCCATCCTTTCCCTTCCTTTCCCTTCCTTTCCCATCCTTTCCCTTCCTTTCCCTTCCTTTCCCTTCCTTTCCCTTCCTTTCCCTTCCTTTCCCTTCCTTTCCCTTCCTTTCCCTTCCTTTTTCCTTCCTTTTTCCTTCCTTTCCCTTCCTTTTTCCTTCGTTTCCCTTCCTTTTTCCTTCGTTTCCCTTCCTTTCCCTTCCTTTCCCTTCCTGTCCCTTCCTGTCCCTTCCTGTCCCTTCCTTTCCCTTCCTTTCCCTTCCTTTCCCTTCCTTTCCCTTCCTTTCCCTTCCTTTCCCTTCCTTTCCCTTCCTTTCCTTTCCTTTCCCTTCCTTTCCCTTGCACCCACGCTGTCCGCACACCACCGTTCGAGCCAGGTCGCTCCCCCACGCGGTTAAACAATTAAACGAGAACCCAAGCATCGAAGATGCTTTTGGGAAAAATGAGGAAGTCTCGCAGAATTGCTTCGTTTTTGACGTTGTCAAGCGCAAAAAAAAATTAGGAAGTCTTACAGTATTGCTGCATTTTGATGCTGTCAAGTTCAAAAACTGAGGAAGTCTCGCAGAATAGCTTCGTTTTCAAGCTTGCAGATAGACAGACAGATAGACAGACAGACAGACAGAGAGAGAGAGAGAGAGATACAGAGATAGAGAGAGATAGAGAGAGAGAGAGATAGATAGGTAGATAGATAGATAGAGGGATACATAGATACATAGATAGATAGATGGATGGATAGATAGATAGATGGATGGATAGATAGATAGATGGATACATGGATAGACGGATACATGGGTAGATGGATAGATGGATAGATGGGATAGATGGATAGCTGGATAGTAGATGGATAGATCGATGGATAGATAGATAGATAGACAGACAGATAGATAGATAGGTAGATGGATAGATAGGTAGATAGATAGATAGATAGAGAGAGAGAGATAGATAGATAGATAGATAGATAGATAGATAGAGATAGATAGATGATAGATAGATGAGACAGATAGATTCGAAAGATAGATTAGGTAGATAGATTAGATTAACAGGTGAAATTGGATTGGATTAGAAAGGCAGATAGATAGATGGATGGATAGCTAGATAGATAGGTGGAAAGAATGCCAGACAAACAGATAGATAGATGGATAGAAAGATAAGATAAGATAAGATAAGATAGATAGATGGATGGATAGCTAGGTAGATAGATGGAAATAATGACAGACAAACAGATAGATAGATGGATAGAAAGATAAGATAAGATAAGATAAGATAAGATAGGTAGATAGATAGATAGATAGATAAATAGATAGATAGATAGATACATAGAGAGATAGAGAGATAGAGAGATAGAGAGAGAGATAGATAGATAGATAGATAGATGGATAGATAGATAGATAGATAGATAGATACATAGAGAGATAGAGAGATAGAGAGATAGAGAGATAGAGAGAGAGATAGATAGATAGATAGATAGATGGATAGATAGATAGATAGATAGATAGATAGATAGATAGATAGATAGATAGATGCATAGATACATAGAGAGATAGATAGATAGATAGATAGATAGATGGATGGATGGATAGATAGGTAGATAGATAGATAAATAGGGATAGAGAGAGAGATATATATATATGGAGAGATAGAGAGCTAGGTAGATAGTCAGAGAAAGATAGAGAAAGATAGAGAAAGATAGAGAAAGAGAGAGAAAGAGAGAGAAAGAGAGAGAAAGAGAGAGAAAGAGAGAGAAAGAGAGAGAAAGAAAGAGAAAGAGAGAGAAAGAGAGAGAAAAAGAGAGAAAGAGAGGAGACCTCAAGCACCTTTCGGTCCATCAGTGGATTCGCTCTGCTGTCCGTGAGTCACAACAGCCAATCTCTCCTGTAGGTTTCCTATTTTTGAAACTTCCGCCACTGCCTTGTGCGGTACTACTGGTCATCAACTGGTCATAACCCGCCACAACTCATAACCGATCAATATATTCTGTGCCTTCATGATTTTATGATTGCATATCAAGAATGTCATGAGGTCAACTTCATGGCCTGCGGATGTTGCATAATCGCTTGCCGAAGCTTTGCTTGACTATGGTCATGCAGTCCTGGCCTGAACGAGGTCGATGCGGGCTGCAAAGTCTGGGTCCATCTGACTTTCGGCTGAAAGGTGCATAACCTTGCACGAAACATGACAAAACAGGCCCTGAGACTCATCTCCGATTGAAACCGCGCATGGCACGTCTGCACTCCACAAAGTTATCATCTGCAACCGCCAAAAATGTTCACAAAGTGCTTCAACATTCCAAGCTGGCTTTGATGCCGCGAAGAGTAAAAAAAACATTTAAAAAAAAACGCTCTTTGGGCGTTGCAAAAAGTCTAGTACACTTTGTAGGTATTGCAGTATATGTGATGTTGTTTAACCCCAGCATCTCCCACAGCTCCATGATAAGACAAGCTTGAAAAACAAACCTCGATCATGCCTAAGTATATCTTCACTCACTGGCTGGCATCATGCCAGCTTCATGGGAGAGATCCCCGGATTTTCTTTCTCCCCCCCCCCCTCTCTCTCTCTCTCTCTCTCTCTCACTCACAAATGAAAAGTCCTTAAAAGTCCTGAAAATTCCTCAAAATTCCTTCAAAATCTCTTAAAGTCTTCAAAATTCTTAAAAAAAATGTTAAGATTCCTTACAATTCTTGAAAATTCCCTAAAAATCTTGAAAATTCCCTAAAAATCCTTAAAAGTTTTTAAAAGTCATTAAAGACCTTAAAACTTGTCAAAATTTGTTGGAATTCCTTAAAATTCTTTAAAAGTTCTTAGAAGTCTTCGAAATTCCGTAGAATTCCTTAAGATTCCTTAGAATTCCTTAAAATTCCGCAAAATTCCTGAAGATTCCGTAAAATTCTTCAAAATTCCTTAATTCTAATTCCTTAAAATTCCTTAAAATTATTCCTTAAACTCCTTAAAATTCCTCACAATTTTTCCGCTTTATTTTGCTTCTGATCGGCCTCCTCTGATGGGGTCACCTGCTTGACAGAGTTCCGTATTTCCCATTTCATTGTACCCTATTCCTGTTTAACACCTTTCAACCCTAACGAACCGCTCCAACTGTGACTGGCAGGTGGCGGGCCATGGTTTCCTTCTTCAAGATAGTCCGTTTTCGATTTTCTCTTTTGTTTACCAGTTTTGAACAAATAGATGCACAAGGAAATGAATGTGCTTCACCAGCTACAAGTAGCCATCATGAAATGTCATGGAACTCAAAGCCATTGTGCGCACCACGGCAGAAGTGCTAAGACTCGTATTTTTTAGCGGACAGGTGCGCACTGAGCATAGCACCTCCTCGATTGAATCCAAGAAAAGAAGTACATCATAGCCTTGCGGAAATGGCCCTGTAATCAACCCTCAGCTGTGACAATGAGGCACCAGGATGCACACAGTTTCCCACTGCCTTCAATATTTGATACGTGGCATTGTGTTGTTCGGCAAAACACACAGCAACGATATGCAACATATGTTCTATGATTCTATGTCACACCCAAACATCGCCGGAAATCCACGAAAAGGGTCCCACAGCGATAGGATTCAAACGGGCACTGACTGTATCTGACTGTCTTATCCTCTTCGGATTCAATCACTGCCTGCTACACTGCTGGCCCCCCCTGCCTAAGCCAAGCTTGCTCAAGAACAGTTTCAGTTCAGATCCATCGAATTGTTCAGCCGTCATGGGCATGACTGGTGACAAATGCATCGGCAAATCTTTCAGCCCTTCCTTAGCCGTGCGCCGGAAGATCAAAACGAAGCACTGCAAGGACTTCATAAAATCAGGCCTGCAGGACCTTTCTCTAATTCCACGGGGATCCCAAGAAGAATCCAATTGTGTTCACTTGCAATGCACCTGTTGTGATTTGACGTAATTTCACACACACACACATATATATATATATAAAATGTCTTTTTAGGGAAATTGGCCGTCCTGTAATGTAGTTGATCATGTCAGCAATTCAATGAATTTTATGCTGCTTCATCGAGACCAAATGCACCTGGAAACAACTTGTCATAGCATAATGATGAATGACAATTCGACTTCAGTATACTTAAATGTGTGAGTGTTTGCATGTGGACACATTTTTTAAAACGCATAAGTGACGAGTGACGAGGGCCTTTGTTGTCGGAGAGCGTATTTTTGTATGCTATGTCTCAACTCAATATTCCCCCCAAAAAATGCCGAAGAGTATCACTTCAGTAAACTTTATCGTAACCCAGAAACTCCGCTTAAGAGTATGTGACGGTATGTGCATAGCCACACAAGTATCCGCCGCCACCGCCTTCACGACCGCCACTGCAATCGCAACGCCCCGAAAACAAGAGCGACAAAAGCAAGACCAACAACGGCAGCGGCAGCGGCAGCAGCATTAGCAGCAGCAGCAGCAACAGAAACAGCAAAAGCAACAACAACAACAACAATAATAATAAAAGAAGAAAATCCGAACAAAAACAACAACAACAACAACAACAACAACAACCACAACCAACAACAACCAACAACAACCAACAACAACAACAACACCAACAACCAACAACCAACAACCAACAACCAACAACCAACAACCAACAACAACCAACAACCAACAAACAACAAAAACAACAAACAACAACCAACAAACAACAACCAACAACCAACAACCAACAACCAACAACCAACAAACAACAAACAACAAACAACAACAACAACAACAACAACAACAACAACAACAACAACAACGACAACAACGACAACAACAACAACAACAACCAACAACAACAACAACAACAACCAACAACCAACAACCAACAAACAACAAACAACAAACAACAAACAACAGACAGCAAACAACAAACAACACACAACAAACAACAAACAACAAACAACAAACAAACAAACAAACAAACAAACCAACAAACCAACAACCACAATACAACAACAACACCAACAGCAACAACAACAACGTACATCCACAACAAAGTACATCCACAACAAAGTACATCCACATCAACAACGTACGGGCACATCCGTAGCAACACAAGCAACAAGAGAAACAACGACGACGACTGCGACGACAACGACAACGACGAACCAACCCCTATAATGACAACCACAACCACAAAGCCGACCATAACCACGGCGAAAGCAACATCAATAACAAATCCAAAGAAACACCTTGACTGCATACACTCATGTGCAGGCAGTCGCACCTACTGCATCGATAAACTGCAACGGGAAATCATGTTAAAGCATGCAAGCCGGGCATCTCGTTCAAGCTTGCAAATCTTCAGGTGCTCATGACAGGCCCGCACAATCGATGAGCATGCAGCATCAATAGCTGAAACTTCGGAAGAACCCACCACTAATTTCAGCACGCACTTCTCTCCACGTGATAGAGCTTCGAATAGGCTGCTCTTGAGCTCATGAAGCCTTGGATGTCAAATGATGTCAAAATGCGGAAAGCATGAAGGAGAATCAATCGGAAAAGTGCATATCACTACACAGCAGCACTTGTGGATCAAACACCGGGCGCATTGGCTCAGAATGGCTGAGATTTGAAAATCAATTTAAAAACATGTAAAAACAAACCTACAAGTCAAAAAGTGTTTAAAAAAAAAACGGCCCTGATCATTGGCGAGTGGCAAAGATCGTAGGCGCCACAGTCCCAGAATATCCTCTTCTGAGAGGCCAGGCATACGTCGTACGAGGGCTACCAGGCAGGCGCGTGCCAACTTTCAAAGATGTGAGTGATCCAAATGCAAGGCCACAAACATTGCTGTATCATAGATTGCTCAGTATTCAATTCATAGTCAGAGTCATACCTCCACAGCTGGGGTTTCACTATCAACATCTTTAAAAAACTTCAAGAAAATGATTTGGTGGACATGACCCGTATTCCTTTTTCGTTTGCATGGGTCCGGCGATGTGCTGCACTGTCTCTACCACTCATCAGAATGCAAGTTGGCTTGCGCCAAATTCTACTCCATACATTGCAGGACCCCTCTGTAAACACCAACGCTGTTCGCGTTCTTGGGCCACATAATGCCACATATTATGATTCAGTGCCAAGGCTTTATGTGATGCGATCATGCCAAATTCGTTCTGAGGGCCAAATGGCTGCATGGACTTTGTCACAGCAGCGATGTGCAGCCGGAGAAATACAAGTTACAATAGACAAACGGATTTTGCTGCTGGCGTTCTTTAACGGACTTTAAAAAAAACTCAAAAGGCCAAACATTCCAAAAATACTCAGGAAGCTTGACAACATTGATGGAGTTGACGATTGGAAGGACAAACTGCGGTAAACACCTGAGGGATTCACAATGGCTTATGAAGCGCGATCTCAGTCTCAGACAATGTGTTTCGTTCAGGGAGCGTGTCAAGCACAACAGCATGCGCAAAGCACATCCCCAAATTACCTCATCCGGAGTCCGCAATGATGAAGTCTTCGCAGAGTTGCGCACTCCTGGGCCACTTGCGTGACAAATCAGAAACCAAGACTGGTCTTGGACATCTTGACAAACATCGTGACCCACGAAGTATCACAAAGCTGGTCTCCAAGCAAAACCCAACAACTAAAAAGTGAGAAGTTTGGCGAAGCCTATGAGAAACAGAACGCAAACAGTGCGAAAACCCGGCCAAATCCCTTACTCCAGCCTCCTGGTCGTGGGCGTCGTTTGCCTGATCTAAGTACGTTACTATCAACAGAATGGAATTAAAATTAGCACTCATGGCAGGGCATAGAAGGTAAAAGCAGCAGCACACAAAATTGCCAATTTGCATTGCTTGAAAATGATCTGCGACTCTTCCAGGCTGCAGGTTCTTTAAATCAATGCATTTCAGCATTTAGATTACACATGTTTTTCCATGCTTTTGCTGCTTCAAGTGCTTTGCCTGAAAAGCTAGAGCGTGGTGGCACAACCTCTCCGCTGAAGATAGCAAGGCAGTGTCAAAACGTGAATCCAGTAGGAAGCGGTGTGAACGCAGTTGAGGACGTACACGCTACTCAGCAATGACTGCGACTAAACAAAACGCACGCA